ATGTGCCAAATTCATAGACGAGCTGTATGTATGTCAAGTGCCCGCTCTTGTTCTGTCTTCCTTTTGAAAAAATAATGAATACCAATTAGCACAGGTACTTCGGATTCCCTTGGGCTTCTTTTAGGTATCTAGTCCCTTAAATAGATTTAAGTTCAACAACCCTAGGCACCCCTAGTCCATAAGCAGTAGAGACACTGATTTTTAATTCATGCTTGTATACCACATAATTAATGTACTTTACCTCCCAAACCCTTGAGAGCAGTGTCACTGTGTAATACTGGGTTTCACTGAATGATTAGTGAACACAGTCAAATTTGGATTACATTTTTGAACTCATCAGTACATTTTTAGGATTATTTTTGCAACTACAGAGATTTGAAAGTTTCCTTCAGAGACTTGTGGGATAACATTTGCTATATATAGCGTGGAAAGGAAAATTTAACATAAATCATATTGTGGAGTTAAAGGAGTATTCTGGTAAATTTCTGATAACACAAATACTGATTCTTTCTGTACCTGTTAAATTATAGTGTTCTCATCATAGAATCATTAGGGTTGGAAAAGACATCTAAGATCATCAAATCCAAACCATAACCAAACATCACTATGTTCATCACTATAACATGGCCCTAAGTGACACATCTGTACATCTTTCAGACTTTTCCAGGGATGGTGGTTGGCCACTTCCCTGGACAGCCTGTTCCAATGCCTGACCACCCTTTCAGTGAAAAAACGATTCCTAATATCCTGTCTTAATTGTCCCTGGTGCAAGTTGAGACCATTTCCTCTCATCCTGTCACTTGTTCCTTGGAAGAAGAGACCAACCGCTGCCTGGCTACATTCTCCTTTTAGGCAGTTTAGAGTGATAACCCTATCCCTAAACCCTAACCCCTGAGCCTCCTTTTCTCCAGGCTAAACAGCATCAGCTCCCTCAGCCACTCCTCGTAGGACTTGTGCTCCAGACTCTGCCCCAGCCCCACTGCCCTTCTCTGGACACTCTCCAGCACCTCAGTGCCTTGATGTGAGGGGCCCAGAACTGAACACAGGATTCAGGTGCAGCTCCATCAGTGCCAGGTACAGGGTGACAATCACTGACCTGGTCCTGCTGGCCACAATATTTCTGATACAGGCAAGGATGCCATTGGCCTTCTTGGCCACCTGGGCACTCTCTGGATCATGTTCGATAGATATTGACCAGCATCTTCTGGTCCTTTTCCACTGAGCAGCTTTCCAGCCACTTTTCCTCCAGCCTGTAGCATTGCATGGAATTGTTCTGATGCAAATTTAAGGACCCAGCACTTGGCCTTGTTGAACCTGTCCTTGGCATCCTTCTTTTCTCCTCTGCATTCCTTGGATACTTACTCTACCCATTATGTTTAGTACAAAATATTCATTAACAATACAGGCATGTCTTGATAGACTGTCTAAAATCCAAGGTAACAACTCTACCATTCTCATCCTCTGTAATTTCTTAAGTAAATAATTTTCAGCACAACTTTTTGTGAGGAAGGAGTTGGGAAGGGAAAGAGAAGGAAAAAAAAAACCTGAGAGACCCACATTTCTAGATGTTTATGAAATTAAGTATCTGAAGAAGTAAAAGATGCTGTATGAAAATCCCCTGAGCTGTGATGCAAACTCTAACCCATTATCAGGCATAGTGACTCTACATGGGAGGAAAGGTAAAGCACAGCTGGGGGGGATTTCTGATGGGATAGTATCTTATCAGTTACCAAGGAATCCAGTCTTCCAACAGCAGGTTTCATTAATCCTTATTCTCTCAGAGCCTCTTTCTTTAGTTTGTTGGTTCAGTTGGCAGAAACAGTGAGTTTTGCAGCCCTCTTGTTTCAATTTAATTTCACATAGCAGAGTACTGGTTTTGCAAATTTCTGAAAAATTTAAATTTGTAGAACTAGCAGGACTGCCACAATCTTTAATGCAGGAGTACCTGTTAACGCAATTATTTAGGAAATTCATATTATATTTCACAGAGTTATTAGCAAATCCACTCCTTCCACAGAGACTGAAGGGGGAAAAAAGATTTTTTTGAAGTGAATGTTAATTCTTTAATGACTGGTTCAGTGAATAAGTACAAACTGCTGGGCACTGAGCCATTCATTGGAAGGGGAGCTCTTGGGTGATGTCAGTGGAGTTCCATATTTATGCAGTAATGTCTCAAGATAATGCCAATACAAAACAGAATGGTATTTGTTATTTAGGAGGAGACGCAGACAGGAAAATTTGGAAGTATCATAAATGTATGTTTGATAACATTATTTTTTGATCAGAATGTTATTAGTAATCCCATATTGAGCATACAGAAAATGAACATTTAAAAACAAATCGTCTACAAGCATATTTTTCCATGGCTTTATAGCTTGTTTTGTAGATGAAACTAAATAAGCTTGAGATTTCCCTTGGTGTTCTCCATTTTTATGGAATGTTTCCAGAGCAGTATAATCTAACAGAAGCATATCCTGTGGAGTGCAGTTTGCACATCCAGGGAATTTCTCATGGAGTACAACCTGGATTGTTTTGCAAGTCTTACAGCCCTGCAGCTTGTTCCACCTCAGCCATTGTCTTCTCTAGTTATTCTGGGCTCAATGCACTCATATACACCTTTCAAAGAAGAAAAGAAAACAACTATTTGGTAGTTTTTTCTATGCTAAAAAATAAATTAATGTCTTCATAGGGGTGGTGATAGCTACGGTGACTTTGGACTGGTCCTACACTAGTATGAAATCTAAGCCTGTAATACTGTTGATTGCTTTCAAGGTTTGCACTTCCTTTTCTACAAGTCACTTGCAACAGAAAGCATGCACAAATATAAGTGAATTCTGCTTAAAATCTTTTAGTCTCTGATTTGGTGAATGCTGTTCAGTGAGTGGGTCAGGTAAGTCTTTAAACTTGTGCTGTTTTCTTATAAAAACTGTCCTCGTTGTTTTGCCCCGCCTTTGCAAGTTACATGCTGCATTACTACATGGTTGATATATTTGGCATTGCAGTGTCTGCCTAATGGTAGGATTCTCACTTGCTTCAGTATTCTTGCAGTGTTTCAATGAGAGGGTAGTTCAGAGGAAGAAATGCATGTGGTCTTGTTCTCTTAAAAGCTTTTGTTATTAAACAGAGGCACTGTGCTATTTCGTGTGTCAGGCAGGCTTTCAGTCAGTGCTGACCCCTTTTCCCTCCCTAGGTGGTGTTGCTATGTTTTGTGGGTTGATTTTAATTTGTTGGTTGTTGGTTTGTTAGAGTTTTTGTATCTTTGTTGGTTTGATTTTTTAAAGCATTCTCCTGTATCATAGTGGTTGATCTTAAGAGTAAAATTAGACTGTCAGCCATTTAGTGTTTGGCATGGGACACCAAAGCTTGATAGCAGTGAACTTCTTTTCAAGTCAAGTCAGTCTTGCAATGATACTTGATGTAGTTATATTTAGACTAAATAAAATGTGGTGTAGAATCCTTTTCTTGGCTTCTCACACACATATATACACCCTCATACAGCTGACTGAATTTGGGGAGGTGAGGAATGGAATGAAGATGAGGAGTGAACAGGGTTTGTAAAGTTATTCAGAGATGAGGGTAGAGAAGGATTGTTTTTTATATTTTTTTGTATTTATTTTTAAAATAAAAAGTCTTTATAAAAAATAAGGGGGTTTATTTGAAGAGAGAAAGCTGAACCTTTTGCTGCTGTTAATGTTTGTGATGACTTCCAAAGCTGCTTCAGTATCCAGCCACTGCAATTGGAACTGATTAAAAAGATTTGTCCATTCTATGCGAATATGAAATTTTGGCTATTTTGGTAATAACAGCTAAAGCTTCTCACTGTAGGCATCTGTGAGTTGCTGCCTGTATGGCCATGTCCTCTGTCTGCAGTGTGCAAAACCAGAGAAATTCCACTTGGAAATGAAGGAGGCGTACAACTGGGGGAGCTGCTTTGGTTTAGTAGTTCTGTAGTGTTTTTTTTTCTTTAAAGTACTCCTCTTGCAGATAGCTTCTCTGATTCCCCTATGACATGGAAACATAAAACATGAGGAAAGCATGGTTGCCTAGCATCTTGCAGGAAACCTTAGACACATACGCATGAAACTACAGTAAAAGCAATGTGATCAGTGAGAGAAAGTGCTCCTCCCCATAGTCTTTGACATTTTATAAGAAAGTAGAATTCTACTAGCTTAGATCTATAGCATATATTGCAGCAGAGAGGCAATTCTTTCTCTTACCAAGATTGAAGTAGCATATTCTATTTCCTGTATCTTTGTCAGATCTTGCATTAATGCACATCATCACATTATTCCATAATGACAGGAAAAACAATTTCTAATGAAAATAAGTTCTGAGTTTATACCCAGCTCACAGAGCACTGCTTTCAAACCTCTGCATTCTAGTTTAGCTATTCTGCTTGCTCTGGTAGCACATCTCCACTCATTTTAGGAGTATTTTGGTAATGCATTTGCATGAGGGAAACTACCACACCAAAATACATTGGTTGAGCCTGAAGAGGTCCATATATAATGCCAAAACTAATACTAACAGGAAAGAAAATATACAAAACATAACTGTGTCTTGTGTATGAGCACAAGCTTCTGCACACAAAAGCATTATCGATTTGTACTTTCTTACTCGTTACACTCTGCTTTTTGTAGAAGAGAATTTTGTTCCACCCCCTGCCTACCTCCTACATCTCAGCTAATATTAAAAGCAGAGACAACTCTGTAAAGAAATTATGTTGCTGAGGTCATTGCTTTTATAAAGTACTCACTATCACTTTATGAAGCATGGAAAATGAAGTTGGTTAAAATACTGTTGAATACAGATGGCCTAAAATGCACACAATGATTTTACTTTCCACTCTGTTTCTTCTCTAGGCTGGCTAACCATTAAAAGAAGATGCATTAATCTACTCTGTAATGGGTACTTCTAGTTCTATTCCTAACCATGAAATCATTTGCTTTTCTGGTGGGCTAAGTGGTGGTTTTTGTTTTTCTTTTTTTCCTCCCATCTAGGTACTGCTATGTGGATATTTGTTAGCAATGACTGATGTGGAATCTACATATGCAGACTTTATTGCTTCAGGAAGAACAGGTAGAAGAAATGCATTACATGACATCCTTGTGTCCTCTCCGGGTGGGAACTCTAGTGAACTAGCCTTAAAGTTATCAGAGCTTGATATAAATAAAACAGGTGAGTATGTTTTGGGATTTTATTATATTTATTTAAAACTAAAATAAAAACTAGTACACAAAGCATGGTTTATGTGCCCACATTATTCTCTTGTTCCTCAGCAGAAGAATTTTTTTTTTTCTAATCAACATGGATTGCCTGCAATAAGAATCACAGATTTCATAAATGGAAAGTGTGGTTATTTGCAAGCACAACGCATCCCTGAGCTTTACTCAAAAGTTGTCCTTCAGTGAGTGCCTTGGCAGGCTCCAAATCAGGAAAAATTTTATGAAAATTAGAGTATAAGGAAGAAAATAAGGAAGTCGTTATTAAAACCCAAGTCTGTAATACCCTTTAATGGATCTCTCTGATTTGAAGCCTGTAGGAGAAGCCATGTATCTGCTGAAAGGTTGTTGTGAAATTAACTTGTTTTTCAGCTGCCAAAGGACAGAGCAATAGGAATGCATTATTGCTTTTTTACCTGGATCTTTGTTTCTGAGTAAATTGTCTCTTTCTCTTTTCTGCTGATACTTGTCTTTCTTTTAAGGTGATGAGCAGTAATGCAATCCTAAATCTTTAATATTATCAACATTTTTAAATATTTCTGCATATTCAGTTAAGAGGTGGGAGGGAGAGTGGACCTTACATGAAATAAAAATAGTAATATGACTGGGTATTTATATTTATGTTAGATGAGTAGCGGCTAATGAACAGATCTTACAGATATTAGAAAACTCTTTTCAGATGTTAGGGAAGGCATGGTTTTACTTATTTTAATAATTGCAGAAGAAAATAAATGCGGCAAAGATGAAACTCTTGATAAACAGCTGCCCTGTTAATGTACATACTTTTCTCAGAGATGAAGAGAGGAGTTCTGAGATGCTGTCTCTTCACAGGACAGGCACATGTGGGCAGCATGGTGTTGAGTGGTTGTAGTGCTGTTTTGAAGGAGGGCTTCTTCTTTTGGCTTCTGGACTAATGTACATCCTAAGTCATTCCTTTGCCAGTTTGTGACCTAGAGATTCTATATGTATGCAATTCTATCTGGGCAGGGCCTTTATTTTATTTCTATTTTTAACAAATGTTTATAAATACGTGTGTAGCTGTGTTGTTTTATTTTAGTGGAGACAGGTGTAAAATGTTGGAAAAATAAAAAGGTGCAATTTGAATGGCATAATGCCAACGTTCAGTCTCAGATTTACACTTATCAAAATAGTCTTTGATCTTGTCCATTTAGAAGATAAAAGCAATCCCTATTTTTAAGTTAAGCAGTGGAGTTCTTATAAACCAGAATAGTGTTTCAGGAGTTTCTTTAGTTCTTCTTGGTGATCCTTTTGAAGCCCAGGTAACTTAAACAATGCAGAAAAACATACAGAGCTGTTCATAAAATTACCTTATTTAGTAGAAACAGAGAAATGTCTGCATACTTCTTCAGAGGATTATTCAGTTTCCATTAGATAAAATGAAAATAATTTTAAATTCTATTTTATTAGTACAACTAGGGGCCAAGTAAAAGCCTCTAGACAAAAAATACTGGAAAAGGTATTGTCTTACCTCGCATTCATGTGAGTATTAGTGTATTATCATGTCATGTCATTCCAAATCAAGAGAGGCTGAAAAATATTTTGCATGTAAAATCCCAGTTCAGAATATATTAATGGTTGTAGGATGCATATGTGCATCACCTCTGACAGGATTAAGAAGAAAACACATTTGGGGGCTATATCTTATTTCTTTCAAGGTGCATGTCAAAAAATTTATGCTGAGGACAAGTTAATTATATAAATATAGACATCAAGTTTTGATTCTTTCCTTTTATTCATATTACAGCTGCATTTTCTTGGAAAACTGCAAGTGTGTTTGCTTTCAACTGCATGGAGTAGTGGCAGAGTAGGTAAATGCAGATGTTAAAGGAAAAAAAAAAGGTGGTTATAAAACATATGTAAATTGAACTACCCAAGAATATTTAGTACATTCACTTTGAAAAGCCTGAAGATACATTTCCTGTAAAAAAACAGAAGAGTTTTTAACAGCACTAGAGACTTGTTCAAAGACAATGTATTTTTCTGTTACTCAGTAGCTGATGCCTGAAGTGAGAGTTGGTTAATCCCCTCATCAATGAGCCAACGACAGATAATCAAGAGTTTACTGCATAATTATGTATAATAAGCATAATTATTGTATGATACTCTCCCTTCAAAACAACTGTCCCATTTTTTTTTGTCCATAGCAAGATAACAACCTGTTATTATCTATAGAATGGATATTTTTACTGAACACCAAAATACAGGTTCCAAGGACTGTGTCAAGATGTTTTATATAAATTAAGTAAAAGCAACACTATGTACATGTGATAGATAAAAAACTGGAAGAGAAATCATAAGACAGAAGCAAAAGAAAGATTTTTAGCAGGGAAATCAGCAGGTAACTCTCCTGCTCAACGGTCTCAAGGTGACCAGTGCAATCCAAGAAACTTGATCTTGCAAGTTGTAGCTAAATGAAGCAGTGAGGTAAAAGTACAATGGTGAATGAGGACAAGTCTCTGCAGATCTAATCTCTAAACCAAACTGGTGCTTTTCTAGGTGCTATAGAACACAGAAAAGGACATTTCCTTGTAAAAGTTGTAGTGGTCCAAGCTTGTACAAATAATGGGGGTAATAGAGTGTTAAAGACCTACATAACTGGAATGAATAACTGACTTTAGAAATTATTGAGTGAAAGTAATTGATTTTAGTCCATAAAAATGTTTTGGGTGTAAGCAGGGGAAATAGTGATAGACACTGTAGAGTCAGTAATGTTACAGGAAGAAAATTGAGTTAAAAGCTGTACATTAGCAGCACTGGTAACTCTAGCCAGCTGACCTACTCACACAACTATTGTGGCTTAGAGTATTGTATTATTTAGTTTTGTTTCTTTTTTTAACACTACCTGATGGTTTCAAAATGCTGTGTAAAAAGTACAGTTTTGCTCTTGAGAGTTTCTAACCATCAGGTTTTAAAGGAAGAACAGCAATATGCTTAGCAGTTTTGGGGTTCTCAGAACTACATTGAAAATCTTGTAGCAGTTTGGGATTCTCAGAATAAAAGCAAATTTATCTCTGTAAATATATTTTAAAGCGTTTAGTAGGAGAGCTCTGCCAGTAAAAAGAAAAAGCTGGTACCAAGATAGTGTTTTATAGACTAAATGGATTTAGATTAGTGATTTTTTTCAGCAAGTTGAGAAGAATCTTTCAGGAAGTGGTATATTAGAACCTTAGTGCTCTTTCCCTGGATCTTTGTGCTCTGTGTTTAACACTAACATAATGAAATGTTTCGGCTTTTTGTCTAGGAGTGATTTTTCTTTTAAACGCAAATATCTTGCAAGAGTGTTTTTTGCTTTTCAGTTTTGGGATTTTTTCCTATTCTTTTTGTTAATAAGATTTCCACCAGGAAAGTTTGGCTTGCCCATGTAGTAGTAGTCAGAATAAATGGAGGGCAGAGCAGGCAAAAAAGAAATAACCCCCTGAAATTACACTCATTGCATCTTCTGCAGTATCAGAAAAAATGTAGAAGGTTTGGAGAAAGTGTATGGACAACTGGGGCAAAAGAGATATATGTCCAATAGTAAATAATCACATGTAGATCCATCCTGATGGAATCCTTTCTAATTTGAGAAGTGAAAGTGAAGAAGAGTTTTCTGGGAAAGTGCCTTGCAAAACAATTGTGTGTTTACTACTTAACCCATAACGAACAGGACAAACCTCACTGTTTAATAGGTAATGGACTTTCATGAAACTTTTCATCAGGTTGAATGTGATAATTCACAGTATCCTTTGAGGCATTCTCCTGCCTACTCAGTGCATGCACAAAACACAGCTGTCATGTCTAAGCTGTTTGCAATGTTCTTTGCAAGGCAAAGAACTTTTTTCCCCTACCAATGTGCCCTTTCTTCTACACAGAAAAGAGAAGGCGTTTATGATGCTTACTTCTATAAACAGAAATAAATCTGCAGATGCACCATGTGATCTGAAATGAGGAAACAATAAATATCTGCATTGAGAACCCTGCCTTCATTCTAAAGATCTATCGATTAAAATTAACAGGCACTGCTACATCTATCTAAACCTCCTTACAGCCTAGCCATGGAATTTTCCTCCCTTAACTTATCAAGTAAAAATTACATTTCAGTACAAATTACTCAGAATCCTTGCAACAAGAGACAATGTATGTCTTAACATTATTCGTTGTTATGTATAGCTGATCAGTCCAATGTTCAGGGACTTGTGTCTCACTTGCACTTACCTTCCTGTTGCCTGAACCTGTGAGGTCTTTAATTGCTATGTAAAATACAATACTTTGCATACAGATAGTAAAAGCATTTGGCAATGCTTTTCTTAGCTTTCTTTAGACAGACTGTGAGTTGCCTGGTCACTGTCCCTCTGTAGGATGTGATCTGTTCCTCAGGTGGTTCTGTGGTTTGCAGTGAGACAGCTGGACTGAGCACTGTGGACATGATGCTGTAAATGGGTACACAGAACTAAAGCAGCTTTAACAAACTATTGTTTTTCTTGAAGTTGCATCTCTTTGTAGCAGCCTCTGTTCAGATTGGCGCAATGAGGTTTTTTTCTCTTATGCTGTTATAGCATCATAGCGAAGACATTTTCAAAAACACTCTACTGCTTTTCTTAAATTCATTAATGTTTAAGTACCTTTGGTATTTATTTAAGGTGATACTTGTGATTGCAGCTAGGAATTTGCATCTCAAGAGACACTTTCTAAAACAAAGTATAGCTATCTTAGTAAAGAGTTTCATATTTCAGTTTCAGTTTCTTTTTGCTTTGTTTTTTAAACTGATGGATGAACAATCAGGGTTCTCTTTATTTTAGGGTGGATTACTCATCCTTTTTTCCTATCTTATAGAAGGAGAAGGAGATGCACAACGAAATCCAAGTGAGCAAACTGGGGAGGCCCAAGGGGAGGCAGCAAAGCAAGAAAGCTGACATCCGACTTTGACCGAGTGGAGCAGCTGCTGGATGTTTTCAGGCTACAAGAGTGTGCTGGAACAAATTTGTTTCTATGAGCAAGCTGGTAGAAAAGAAAGTGCATGTGTCTTCACTGCTGGAACCCACTCAACACAATGCTAAAAATCTGGGTACAAGCTGTGACAGAAGACAGAATTTTCTCTACCTCTGTCATTAGCAATGGTTGAACATGTATTGATTTTTTGGGATAGTGTCATCAGATGGATCCCTTCATAATGACTACTCGATGGGAGCACTTTTAGAAAGTAGAACAGGTAAATCTTGTAGCAAATGGCCTTTGAAGCATCAGAGGATCTAATTGTGTATCTTAAGCAAAGTCTTGTGTGATCCTCAGAGTTTAAAATTCTCTGGCCAAAGTGTTTGCCCATTATAAGAACTGTAAAGAAAGCACTGTTTTTAGAACTTTGCATCTGTTTTACAGCTCTGTTATTTACAATGGTTTTGTATTGTACGACTTAAATGCTCCACACTGCCCCTTCTCAACTGCTTATGAAGAATATTTCTGTTACTGTGAATTTTTCTACCACACGTTTTGAAAGGGCTGGTTTTTTGCATAAGGTGGTGATGTGCATATGATAGATCTAAACGTCAACCGCTAAATTGATTATGCCTAAACCCAAATGACTCAGCAACAAGTAACACTCTAATTTGTTACTAGATGAGCCTTCAAAACGATTTGTTAATGTGAATACTTGAGCGTGTGTTGTGTCCTTGGTACAGTTCTGCCACTCGCCTGTAGTTAGTTGCATATCAGAGACTCAAATTGGATCTTTTACGTTATTCTTCCCCATTTTTCTAATTTTGGTCCCAATTTCTTAATCTTTCTCTGAGATATTTTTTTAAAATGTTATTCCGAGTATTTTATTGTTATGGTAGTTTTAAGGATACATTTATAACCTTATATGGGTTAAAATTCAAATGAATTCCATGGTGCTAGAGGTTTTCCTGATTCACATTGTAAAAGATAGGCCTTGTTTACGCATGGGAGAATAACTGGCATAGGTTATTGCCAATTATGTATTCTGAAATGAGTTGTAGAATGCAGTATAGTCCAATAGGTGGCTTCTGGGCTGGATCCAGCCGGGGATTGGATTTTTACTATTCCTTGCCTTTGCCTCAGTTGACCAGGCTGTTGAGTTTGCATGGCCACTAGCCTGCTACTGATGCACCAGAACAGCCAAGTGCTAGAATCTTCTACAGTAGCCTTGTGGCTTGGAGTTGGAAAGGGAGGTGAGAGACTTGGCATCTAGCACCCAAAGACTAAGATTTTTTCCCACTTCATCTATTCCAAAATGACAGTCCAAACTGGGCCTTCATCAAAATACCAGGATAGCTTGTCCATCCAGGACATTACTTAAAATATCTACGACTTAATAACCTGTTCTGCAGTAGCTATTGCTAATTGATTTGTTTTTCCCCCTTGCCCTGCCCCAATACACAAGGCCATACATGAGGCTGAATGCTGCAAAATGGGGCAGCCACACCTCTGTGTGACTAAGGTGAGTGAAGAGAGTGACTGATAGTAAACCATGGCAATCACACAAGCACCAATCACAAGGTCAGAAGATTTGTTTTCTTTTATTAATAGGAGGTGATGTCACTTTATATATAGTATATATATATTATATATATTTTTGTGTTGTTGGTTTCAAATGTTATGCACTTTTTAATGTTTGTAAACTTTTACTAATGAATAGTGTGATTGCTTCCTGAATATATTAATCATCAGTTAACAAAACATCTTTGTGGCCACAGCTGTTTGTTTCTACCATATGTATCATAGTACTTGTCACCTGAAAATTTTTTGTGAGATATATGGAGGAAAAAAAACCCACTTCTGATCAGTATTATGAGATCATTTATTAGTGTTAATAAAAACAAGCCAGCCGTATGCTTGTGGCTCATGTGTGTAATATTAACTTTCATCTTCTAGTGTTTGGAAGCTGAATGCCTTGCTGTCTTATTAGCTGTCAAATGCCCTATCTTCTTGGTAAGAGAAGTAGTCCATTTGCTTTGGAAATACTGTTATCTTTAAACAATTCTTACTCATTTGTTTCACTTGGTGTTCCTTTCAAACTTAACACATTATTATTGACCTTTTTTTAAATTATTTCTCCCCCTTTAGCTCTTGCATTAAATGTTCAAGCTGAACTGGCTGCCCTTTGTCATGGACTAGTTACTGTCAATCTAGCACAAATGCCAGAAGGAAGTAGGATTGTAGAGTTTTTTTATAGTGTTACTCTATTGATGAGCCATGAAACATCATCAGTAAAATGTTGCAGGAAAAGGCAATAGTGAAATAAGTATTTGCAGTACATTAAAGTGATGGTTTTCCTTATTTTCCTTCACTGCTTTTCTTTATTTCAGTATACTTTCCCTCTTTATTTTGTGTTGTTAAATAAAATTAATTTCAGCCTTTCCTCTCTATTTTGTACCTGTTTCTTTCTGTTTCTCCTCTTTTTTTTTCTTGTTTTCCAATAAGTTGTGGAGGCTTTTTGCTGGTTTTTGAAAACCATTTCTTTGTGATGGAAAATAGCGCAGTTAATTTTAGTGGAGTAAAAGGCTATTTATGTTCCTCTTCCCCCAGAAGTATATACGTGCTTGATTTATCACTTGAACTGTGCTTGCTGTCTTAATTTTGGATATTTCTGTATCATCTATAAGCTGGCCTCATTTAATGTAAACATGTGGTTAGTCTGTGCCAAGTCACAGCACTGTATCTTGAGTATTATTGTTTCCAAAGCAATTACATAAGAGCTACTTTAAATATATTCATACCTTTACTTCTGTGTAATTGCATCATATAACAGGGACACTGATGGCAGAACCAGACTTTGACTGCTTTATTTTTGCTTTTGTTAGTTATCTTTTTCAGTTCACCTGATACTCTGGCTTCTCTTCCAGTATCTTCTTTCTATTTTACTGTGTTCATTATAGTAAAATATCTGTTTAATCCATGCTTATCTTAGAAATATCTTCCCAAAAAGCTATATAGACACAACAAAGTCAGGTCTGGAATATCAGCATAATAGAATACTCCTTATCCTTAAAAGGTTTGGCTTTAGTGGGATGGTGGTGGGTTTGTTGTTTCATTTTTGGAGGTTTTTTTATCGTCTCTCTCTAGACAGATGTTTTCAGTGCTTTGGTCACTCTGAAGGACCATCTCTTAAAAAATCTCTGTATTCATGTTCTTGTTTCCATAATGAAGTCTATGATTATATTCATTAAACTTGTAGGGTTCAGGTTCCCTGTCCACTTGAAACAAACAGAACTTTTACTATAATTGGAAAGATACTGGCGTTTCTTTCTTCAGCTTATTTCCACTGATGCTGGCTACGTTCTTCAAAAAGCATGTGTTAAAAGACAGCAGCAAGCACGCACATTTGTTACTTCATCAAACAATCATTTTAGAGCCAAAGGTTCACCATGACCTTTGATAACACAATTGCTGAATGTGAAAAAAATGTCAGTATACTTGGTCCTCATCTGTGTAATTTCTCTTGCATTTTTTTCCCAAAATTTTGAAATTGGAAAAGGTTTATTCTCATAGGACGGCAAATGGATAATTAATTATCTGGTTCCCTGAAGGAGCAACTACTAAAGGGGTGAAGATGGAATTTGTTCAGTATGAATGCCTTTCTCAGCTAAATTGGAGAATTTTGGATGTTCCTAATGTTTGTATTTTATGTTTCAGAAACATCACTGAATTTTATTCAGAGGAAAGACTGAGAGCTGCTGTTGAGACTGAGCACAGTGTAGTAATCTCACCTTTAACAGAGTTTGCCTTACCTCAGCAGTGTTCCTATGTTGAATGCTGTATTTTTGCTGACTTGTTACTTTGTTTGGCTCTGCATCTCTTTCTGACTGGTTTATTTTCCTGTGGTTTCCCAATGTACACTAATACTCTAAAAATACATGGAGTGCTGTATTACTGTATATTGGCTGACTAAAATCTGGTAGAGGAAAGACTGTTTCACTTAATCCTTTTGATTAATGCACAGAGTGGGGTCTGTTTCAAAGTTCTTTTCACAAGAGAAGCAACAGAGCCAGGAAGGAAGAATGAATTCAAGAAGATAGGCCAGCAATTTAAGGATATCTTTTCTTAATAGTAAGGCAGGTGGGCCCAGTGCACAAAATAGCTTCCTCCCTCATATGATGAACAGTTAGGATGTGTTGATAATAGCTAAAAAAAGACAAATTATTCAACTATAGGTGCTATTTTGATTTCAGAACCAACTTCAGGTTCTCAACAGTACACTATAACAGAAACATCCATAAATCTGTGGCACGTACCTTTGAGACCAATCCTAGTATCACCAAATTCTAATGAAATCAAAGATATCTCTTGTTCTCTAATATAGAAAAGAGAATGCTCTTAAAAAGCAGAAACACTTAACAGATAAGAAAATTACAGAAATAAGGGTAATGGCAGGAACATTCTCACTGTTCTCTACATCTTCAGGCTGAACATAGTTTTTCCTGCAAGAGAGTAGGGACAGAAATTATCAATGTGGATGAGTGTTATCTTACTATTTAATAGTGAGTTAACAAGATATGATCAAGTTTTAAATCAGAGAGTAAAGCTAAACAAAAATATAGTGCACTCATGCTTACAAAAAGCATCCCCATCTTCTGAAAGCAGCAGAACTTCATGTTCTATCCTTTTACATTGATTTTTACATTAGGAGCTGCTGATATTTTAGAATGGAGGACAGGACAGACTTGTCAACACATGATGTGTGTGCATAAATGATCTCTTGGTATTTTCAGGCAACACATGCTTCAGTATCCTGAAACCAAATGTTTATAAAAAGACCAGTGCTAGTGATGACTTGTGTATGAGTTCTTAAGGTAAGCTTTTAGCAAATTACCCATCAGTATACACTTTCAATCCTATTTGCTGTTAGGAAAGTCTCTGGTGCTGATCTATGAGTGTAGTGTGATAGAAGTAGCTTTACAAAAGTTCAAACTGAGGCAGATGATCTTGAGTACTCCCAAAATGTCTGAGACAAAAACATTCATAAAAAATCTACACCATCTTCTTTCAATAGGAAAGACAGATGATAAGTGTTTTGTATTTGCTAAATAATAGACCTGTTTTATCAGTGGTTAATCAGTTAATGCTTAGATCTAGTTTTGTGGAAAAAAATAAAAGAAACCTTTTGAACCTGAAAAATTAATCATGTTTTTGCATACAAAAGGATAAGAGATTAAATTTTTTAAAAGGTAGCTTGGCAATAATTTATAGGAAATAGTAACATATCACCTACAAGAGGTATGGAAGATCCTTGTGGAGAGATCAAATCTTGAGCAGCTCTGAATGTGATCTAGCCTACATTTGGTTTGTTGCATTGGCATGTAAATTATGTCTCATTGTGTTTATCAAACATAGATATTGCAAATAGATACAGAAAACACGTTTTAAGTATGCACCCAGAAACAGGATTCCAAGGCAGCAAAGGAAACATTATATTTTTAACCACACAGCATGCTAACAGATCCATTTCATTATTCATATATTTTTATTTGAAGGTTCTTCTTTTCAAAAAAAAAAAAGGACAACACATGATTTTGCAAAGAAGTTCATCAGCAAAACCATGCATTTTTCTTAGAAGAATTCAGTTATTATTAGGGTTCTCAAAGGGCAAGTATCTGGCCAATGTGTATTAGCCATGTCTTTGATATGGGAAGCTTATCATTAAGCCTAAGTGAAATTAAACTGTTTCCCACTACTTCAGTCAACAGTAAAATGTCTTCTGTTACCCACATTCTTTCCAGTTCAGTGAGCAGCTGGCTATTGATGCAGAAACACATGTACTATGATGGTATGTATCTGCTGCTTTAATATTTCTCTCTATCAATATAACAGAACATAGATGAATCCGTGGGGTCAGGATCTACTTTAAAATGTCTTGGAACTGCCATCACTTGTGGGAATCCAGTAACTGGTCCTGGAAGAGGCTATGCTAGGTTTTTGGTGGAAAATTATAGTTACAGATGGATATAAAACACCAACACTATGCCCAAATTTGGGAAGGGAGTGGGGCTTGAAGCTTGGGGTGTTACACAGGTAGCCTGAAAACCGTATGCTCACAGAAATGTAGCTAGTAAATTAGATCTGGCAAACATAAGAAACTTCTAACATTTTAAGAAGTTTTGCCATAACCCATACAACACGCCATTGTATTTGGAAATTGTTTTCATGCTAACTATTTCTTCTCAAGGATTGTGTGCACTTTATCAAAATAAAATGGTTGGAAGATGTAATAAAAAGTAGAAAAATTCTATTTGACTGTACAGCCATGAAAAAAGTGTCATTCCTGCACATGACCCTCCCTCAGACACAGCAGCTACAGGTAGTGCTTGTGACTGGTGCAACACACTGTCTTTTAGGCTGGTTGGAACTGGATTTTCAAGACACCCTGTGGAATAAAGCTGAACCATACCTTCTACCACACCAGGCATGTTTTATCAATTCATTTTTTCTCCCAAACTGATGTTCAGATGAACATAGATTTACTATTCACTTTGGTGTATACTTCTGAATATCCACGTAGTAATAAAAATGGCTCTCCTTTAGGCTGAAGTGTAACAGAATTTCTTGTAGTTATTTGTAATTTCCTATGGATCGATATATATTCTATTCCTGTACGTGCAATAAAAGTATACTATATATTTTCCAATTAAACATCACAGACCAAATAGGAATATGCAACATAAAAATACTGTGAGATATTTAGCTTTTTGAAGTATACACTCAAGTGCAAATAGGGCACAACTTAAGTGTTTCAGTAAAAGTCTTTGTTTCCACAGCCTCATTTTTGATCCTGCAATGCAGTCAAAATGTAGACTATGTAACATCTGATTATAGTCATCATTTCCCTAGCAACA